TCTTTTTTTTTTTTTTTTTTAAATTTTGCTCAGTCTTATTGGCGGTAATGGGGTATTTAAATTATTTTGTTTATGTTGTTATTTTGTCAATCTCAGTTTTCTCCTCTCCTGCCCGTTTGTCTCATTTTGGGAATGAAGAACCATGATAGACTGTATTTATTTGTATTGAGTGTTCCTAAAAAAATTTATATATATATATATATATATATAACCTCCAAATGCAGCTGTTCCACGTTAAGTAGCAAATTGTCTTAACAGAAATAAAGCCTGTTTCCAGCAAAGGTTTCGTTTTTGTTTATTTGGCTTTGCTCAGTTTTCGCTCTTCAGCGCCGGTGCTCGAGGAGCCCCGGGGCGCCCTCTAGTGGCGGGCTGGGAACGCGTTTGCCACGGTGCCTAACGCAGTGCTCCGCAGAAGTTAGCTCCTGTTAATACCATAGCTCTGTCGGTGTTTTCTAATCTTAAAAATTCAAAAAATAAGGTAGAACTTTAAAATAATATTGTTGTTGAGTTAACATTGTTAGCTAAGTTATATCAGCAACTTTACTTAGAATTAAAGTCTTGTGCTTGGTCCTGTACTAAGCACTACTGGCCTCTGTCTCATTAATATATTAATTTTCCGCATATTGCTTTCAAAAATTGACATGAACAAAAACAAACAAATGAGACCCCACGCTGAAGGGAGTATGTCAAAGGGACACAGGGCCAACTGACAGAGCTCCCAATGGCCAAAGCTGGAACAATTTGAGCCAGAAAAAGTAGTATTGGATTATAGCCCAAAGTAAAAAATAAATATCCCCGAGGCCATGCTGAGATAAGTGAATGAATGAATACATAAAGAGAGGTAAATCTCCCGTGCAGAGAATTCCAAATAATTTATGCAGTTACTCTGCCTTCAAAGGGGGTGGAGCACAGCTATTCACTCCCTAAGTGTGGGCAGCACTCGTGACTTCCTTCCAAAGAAAGGGCGAAAAAGAGCAGCTGTCCAGCGGAGAAGCATCCCAGACACCACCTCGGCCAGGCGATTGCGGTCAATATTCAGCGATGTCATGTTGCTACTGGGTACCCTTTGTGTGATGCAGTGAAAATGGTACCTTACACCCAGGGTCTTCCTCTTCAGGATCCGTAAGCCCAGTATAATGAATAGAAACACATTAGGTAAATCCCAGGACAGGAACATCTGACTAAATACCTGACCAGTACTCCTCAAAACTGTCAAAAGTCATCAAAAATAAGGAAAGCCTAAGAAACTGTCACAGGCAAGAGGAGCTTAAGGAAATAGGACAACTGAATGTAATGTGGTGGGTATCCTGCCCGATGGAGTCCCGGACCATGAAGTAGACACAGGTCAAAACTAAGGGGATCTGAGTAAAATCGGGGAAAAAAGGAAAGCAGAGCTTTTTGACTTTTAGAAAAAAAAATGATACATATTCATTGTTAGAAGTTTCATTAAAACTTGAGTATAATAAAAAATGCCAATGCTATATGGTAAAATGTTATGTTAATATTAGACGAATGTTTTTCTAGCTTAATCGGCCTCTTCTGATCTACTAATAGGTAGAGGTAGAGCGTACACACACATTTATAGTATTTGTAGTAGGCATGAAGACAATTTTATAAAAATAAAATTTTTGTGTTTTTAAGTATGGCACCAACTGATAGCTAACACTTGAGCTCAACAGCTACAGCACTTTATGAGCTCATTTAATTCTCATACTACCCAGCTAAGGCAGGCGTTATTATTCTATGATTTTATTAATGCGAATTAGGAAATAAAAAGAGATTGAGGAGCTACAGTAAGGTCAGCAAAGCTGGAATTTGAACCCAGGCAGTCTGATCTAAAAGCCCATGTTTTTTACCAGTATTAGTTAGTACCCTGGCATCTATAGAAGGCAATGCATTTCCTAAATTCTCCACCTCACTTTTTCAATATACATTAATTCTTTTAATAACAGTAGTTTTATTGAAACACAAGAAATCCCTATACAGCCAGGGGGCAGCAAACTATTGCTTTTTAAACTTTAATTGTAGTTAATAAGGCCCCAAATAAGCAAATGGCAGTCGTCCCAGGGCTTTTCTTTATTTTAGATTAAAATTACTGTTATGCTAAAAGTAACATTTAAATTATTACTTTCATAAATTTACAGAAAGAATGTCATCATCATGATCTGAATTGATCGAAACAGCATCCCAAATATTTTTCCACTTCGATTTTATATTTTAAGATGCCAGAATGTGTGTATTCTTTACAAATGTTTTAGTTGCAGTTTTCAAAAGTAGAGAATGGAATAAAATGGGTATTTATGCTTACACATTCTTAATTAGAAATGGAATTTAAAATTCATGTATATAAAATATTTTTTAAAGATTCAAAAAGGAAGGGAGAAAGGAGTGGAAAATGACCACCAACGTAAGTATTAATTGAGGTTTCCTGAGTTGTGAAAGAGTATATTTGCTACATACTGTAAATGAAGACTTGGGGTTACTTTCAGTCCTCACCGGAGCGTAAGTGGGGCTGGGGCTGGGGCCGGGGAGGGAGAGAGATCCCGCAGCAAGGTCACCTGCTGAGGGAGCCAGGACATAGACTCCAGCAGTAAGAAGGCGCGATCATGGTCAAGTCAAAGGCCTGCATTTGGAGGGCAGGGAGCCTGAGAAAAGTATAAATTTCATGGTATTTGCTAAGTGGTTGTCTTTTGCTAAGGCGATAGAAAATAATCATCTGGACTCTTCTGGGTTCTAAATTAGGAGCTGGATGCCATTTCCTACCCTCTTCTCATCTCCACTGAAAGGGCTTTATATTTGACCAAGAACTTCCCAGTTCCTTTTCTCAAATAATACATATAAGGAGGGCCCTAGTCATATATGCATATGAAGAACTTACTTGAGGAAAAGTCCTATGCACAGGGAAGTGTGATAGATTTAGTATATGTCCAAACATAATTTCCATATAGCATAAATATTGTATAAATTTACATGATATTGATCTACATAATATTTAATATTTATTTTTTGGTCCTAACTCTAGTTGGCACCATGGGTGCTGCTTTATTGGCCTATGTGCTTTGCACCAACTCTTCTCAGATTGGAGCTTGTCCATGGACCCCCCCATCTGCCACACACACACACACACTCCAACCCCCATCGCCCTGCCTGTTGAGCTTTAACTATATTACACTAGAATCTGAACAGCTACGGAATCGCGCAGGTATCTCTCATCCACCTCTCATCAAGACTTAGGCATCAAGTCTACTTGATCCCAGTTTCAGTCCATTGTAATCTAGGCTTTCTCACTAGGTTTCCAGCTCTTTGAGTTTTCTTGACATCTCTGCAGGGCTGAGCGCTTGGTGCTCCTGCCCCTAGGCCTTCGCACGTGCTGTTCCCTTCCTGCCAGTGTTCTTCCCAGATACCTGCAGGATTAGCTCCTTCGCTTCTTTAAAGTCTTGACTCAAAAACCACTTGTCAGTGCCTAAAGTCCTTCTGTCTCACAGCATCTTTGTAGTTCCCTTTCCTGCTTTATTCTTTTATTTTCAGTGCATTTAGCATTCTACATTTTGACTTATTTGTTTAGTTTTCTGTGAATTACAAATTCCACAGCATCCTATATATTTTATTCATTTATCTGGTTCATTTTCTGTCTAAATTACAAGTTCCACGAGGACAGAGATTTTTGTCTATTTTGTTCAGAACTGTAGCCCAAGTGCTTAGCACATAGTAGGTGTCCAATACATAGTTAACAAATAAAGAAATACATAACTATCAGCATTAAATAAACATGGAAATGAACGGGTTATATAGGCATTGGATCTGAGCCTACAACTAATGTCAAGGGAAATGATTCTTTCCAACATGTGTAAAAGGGCAGGCTAGCTAAATTAACTCACTTTTACCTGGATCTGTTAAGTTTAGGAAAAGCCAACTAATTGCTTCATGAATATTTACTATATATATATTTAATAAAGAGTGTGCATATGAAGGTTTCCAACCTATTTACACAGCCAAAAGGGGAACATAGGCCTTTGTCTTCTGGATCGTCAGAGTGATTATGCCTCTAAGACATCTGCTCGGCTCATATTTGCTTCCCCCTGTGGTTTATACAGTCGAGCCCATTGGTACCTATTTGTTTACATAATATGGCATATGGTATCGGTCAGTTCTGACCATAGGAATGTCCTGAGGATTTGAGGGAGCACTGGGCCTTATGATGAGTGATTTTGTCCTTGAAAAATTAGATAAAGTTTCTATTTTGATAAACAAGTGAGTGCTGAGCATATCGACAGGAGTTCTGAATAAAGATATTTAGATTTCTCGCCCTACTGTAAAATAGTGGGTTGCAAAAAGATTTAATGAGCTAATTGTAAATAAGCAGTCCTTTCACTCACTGAAGGTAAACTTGGATCTGGGCAAATTTGGGAAACTTGATAGTCCAGGATGAAATCTGGAAAATACTGGGACTTTTACTAGAAATGGTTAAAGAAAAAAAAAAATCACTATTCATTTGAATGCAAGTATTTTCCAGAAAGCATGGCCCTTGAACAGTTTTGAAATGTGATCTAGGAGTGGAAAATATGGATACTCATTATATGGTTTTGCTTCTAGAGCAAGACGACTTTATCTTATAATACTGATCTGTTTTATTTAGTCGATTGACTCCAGTTTTAATTAGAATTTTGGTTTTGTCAAACAAAAAAC